CGAATCGAAACACGAAATTCAACTGTATAGTGTATACCAACATTTCAATCATAAGTAATGGAATATATTTGTTTGTGCTGTGTTATTTATATGTGCCCGATTCGGGTTTTTAAATGGCATATAATATTTAATACACTTACAAGGGCTTATATCAATTGGCGAACAGAAAATGCGTCAAAAAATTTAAAAAAAATTAAATCCAGACGCAAATATTTTAAATTCAAAGGATGGCTTCATCAATTTTCATAAAATACCGATAAATTTGGCCATAAATTTACTATTTGTTCTGCATTAAATTTTCATTGAAGAAATTTAAATTGGAATATTCATATTTTTTGTAAAACAAAAGATATGTTATTCTCTAATAAAATATTTTATTTAGAAACAAATCTTAGATCAAACCAGAGACTGAAATTTTCGGGATCTTCCTCTTCTTCTTATTGTGAAATTCAATTTTATTTTGAAAACGCAATCTGACTTCTAAAATTTTTCTAACCTGAAATAACTAAAAATTGATCTAGAATTGGTTTCAGGGTGAAAATTTTTAAAAGTCACATTGCGTTTTCAAAATAAAATTGAATTTCACAATAAGAAGAAGAGGAAGATCCCGAAAATTTCAGTCTCTGGATCAAACACATATTTTATCTGTTGTACCAAATACAAAATTAGCCATCAAGATCCTTCATACTTTGGTGCCTTTTAAGAGATTCAATGTCTTGAGATAGCGTTTCTTCGATTAATGAATCCGCTACCAGCATAAAAAATTGAATTCAGTATGCCAAGTACCTGGATTGATGAAAATAAAGTCAAACAATTTTGTTAAAAATAAATCACAATTAATAAAATGAATCATATTACCCCAGAAATGATGTATTTATCATAAAGCTGGGCGGCTTTATGAACATCTACATACAATTCTCTATTAATTTGAACCAATAATCCAATGGACGGAACTATAATTAACAGTGTTGCAAATGCATTATGGACTATTTCCTGAAAAGAATGAAAGAAATATCAAGGATAAACGCTTATAGATGAAAGACAAACTCAAAAATCACTTACGCTATTTGGATCATTAAATAAGTTTGTTAAAAACAAAATGAGAGTGGCGATTAAGAACGTTATGTTTACTACATGGAAATATACAGTCAACAACGTACTGTCAACAACGTTTTTTTTTCTGCTCCG